CAATATGTGACCATTAGCAGTCCCATATTAGCCAAATGAATCATAAGTTGAAAAGGGAGTGCTGCTTATCTAGACTGATTATGGAATGTGGGAGACTGCACCTCATTTTATCTTAAAAGAGAAAAAATACAAAAAAATGTGTAGCAAATAACCTCTGGTCTTCTTAAACCTATCTTTTTATACTCCTGTGTCAACACCTACCTCTGTGTGAATGCAAAATTGGCAACAACTCTCTGGTTGATAGCACACACATACACACACGAAAAAAAGAAACAAAACATACTTACAGAGTGCCAGCAATTGGCAGTGGCCTCTGCCCTGGACAAAAAAAAATGATGATTTTGGAAAAATCTACTACACAAAGTAAAGGAAAGAATCTGATTGACTTCATTATTTTGAAAGGTGTTCTGGTGAATGCAAAGATTGTCTAATTATTCCTTTGGCATCATTTTGCTGAGAGAACATTTACACTCATAAACCAGTAATATGAAATTGGAGTCATGCAAGAGAGGAAAGTAGTCCCAGAAGGCATTTATGCATTTGCCAAAGTAAAGGAAAAATGTTTTAAGAAAGAATTATCAAAAATTAATAATTACCGTGTTGTTTAGTAATTCTAACATGTTGTTTTAAAGAACTAGATAGAAAGGAAGAAAAAGGAGAGAGACAGAGACAGCAGAAAGACAGAGACAGAGAGGAGAGGAGAGAGAGAGAGAGAAAAAGAGGAAGGGAGATGGATATCAGACACAGAGAGAGAAAGAGAGAGACAGAGAGAGACAGAGAGAGAGAGAATCAAAACTCCTTCCATTTGTTCTTTAAATTGGACATCCTATCAAGCAGAAGGACTTCATAAGTATGAGATCTAATGCACAGTGGGATATCACTTAGTAGTCAAAAATAAAACTGTAGCTATCCCATAGATTCATAGATTGTCAAAGTAGTAAGGGACCTTACTTAGTACATAATGGATGATAAAATCAACATCCCTATTCAATCCTTATTAGTAGAAGCATGTACAAATACAGTAACAGATTATATGTTGTGCATGAATAGGTATTCCAAATAAAGGGATTTTTTTTTAGACATCTGAAAGTTACCCAGCTTTAAACACCAACAGTGATACCTCCTCCTTTAAAATATCTTTAAATGGAAAAAGTGAAGTGTGGTAGTTTGGCTTTTGAAAATTATAGTGAACATAATTTAACCTTTTTTTCTAGGTGGTTCCAGGGGTATGTGGTACAATAAAAGGGCATTGGAAAAGAAGTAGAGAGCCTCACTCCAAATCTTTCATCAGATACCCTCGTGACAAAGGGCAGTTAAATGAATACCCTTGTGTTTATTCATCTGTCAAAATGGATTTGATACAGAATCCTTCTTCAGGGTCAAATATGTGATTCTCTAAGGTTATTATGAACAACAATTACTGAATTATGTATCCTAATTGATATATAATTAAGTAATCCTAGTAGAAGTTAGCAAAATAAGTGTAGTTTTTTATTCCAGAGAAAATTGCAATGCTTTCATGTTTTTTCCCACTTCTTATAGTTTTATTATCCCAAATATTAGAAGGAACTTATTGCTCCTACTTTGTTAGCATGGCCTCACTACTTCTCAACTGCTAGCTTATTTTGACCACAATTATGTGGAAAGGGGTAAGACTCAGATTGACTACATTTCTCTATTATGTAATAACTACCACCACCTTTACTCCTAATCACACTGTTATCATGTGTTCAGGTTTGCAAAGGACTTTACAAACATTATTTCATTTGATTTTTACAGTGACCCAGTGAAGTAGGTACTATAATTGCCCTAATTTTATAGATGATAACTCATGTTTGAATTTACCGGAACTCTAACCTCTGATTAAGGTAAGTATTAATATACAAAGAGAGCTTTGGGTATCTTCATTTTCAAGTAACTTCAGTACATACAGATCACCAAAAAATATGAGTCACTTTTCACCAGCTGTTACAACTTGACATTTCTATTCTATAAATTAACCAAAGCCACATCTTACACTTAGATCCCAGTGAATCTTGAACCATTTACATTTTTAGGCACATATTCAGTATTGTATAGACAGTACTGAATAATCATCATATTGATTATTAACAATAACTTGTAACCATCCACAGACATAGTTCAATTTACAGAATGGCAAAATTTCTGAAGCATTAAATATAAAGTCAATTTGTGTAAATCAAACTTTTTTCATTGCTTTCCATGATAACAATTGAATTATGTTCTCCTCAGAAAATGCTGGCCCCATGATATGAAATAAGTTACATGAGAAACTGAATAAATTCTTTAAAAATCCCACCATTAAAGGAAAAATGGCTATTTTATGAAGAAAAACATGGATGACAATGATGATCAAAAGAAATCACGAAGCATTATTACCATATTAGCAAAGTTATCTAATATCCAAAATATCCATTAATTGTCTTTGAAACTATATCTATGGAAAAGTTGGGAAGACTATAGTTTTGGTTCTCTGTCTTGAGTAAGCAGTCATATTCTTATATGCAAAGATTTTTCTTCCTCCTTCAGACAAACATGAGTGTTCATTTAACTAAAATCTTGTACCTTGGGTCAAACTACAACGATACTTAAGGATACTTGATTCATTTTGATCTTTCTAACTTTCTTTGTAAAATCAAAGTGAAATAGTCCCTCAACTTTATAGAGTGGTCCAGATATATCTCTTCCATGTGTTTAGTAAAGTATATATATATATATATATATATATATATATATATATATATATGTTTTCCAAGGTTGTAAATTCTATATAGTCAGTTCCCCATTATCTGGGGCAGGAACCTATTTTTTAAAAGTATATATATCATGGAATAAGAAGTTAAATTAATTATTAATTAAGTATAAACATAAGTTGTTATGAGTAAGCCAGTGGAATGCCTTTTCAATGTTATTTTTTTGGCAGGGGGATCCAAAGGATTCTGAACATGATTACCAACAAAGAAATCATTTCTCACATTGTAAGTATGTATATATGTAGGTATGTGTATATATAATATATAGCGTGTACGTGTGTAGACATATATAAGTATATACACACATACTTGTGTGTGTGTGTGTGTGTGTGTGTGTGTGTGTGTAATCTTCCACTTATTTTGGGACCAAATCTAAATATCCATCTCACAGATTCAGAGAATCTTAGAATGGAAAGGATCTTTAAAATATTTTGTTAAACCTTTTACCCTGTAGAGAAATCCTCTCTACAACATTGCTGACACTCTCTGCTTGATGCTTTCCAGTGATGAGGAACACATTACTTCGCAAGGCAGTATATATATATATATATATATATATATATATATATTCATATACCTCAAAAAACTTCATACATATATATATACAAATATAAGATCCATGATCATATATATATATATAATGTATATATACACATTATATATATACATATATATACATGTGATTATATATTTGTTTTTTTTCCTTTCGAAAGACATTCTTACCATATCTTCAAAAAGCATTATCTATAAAAGCTGTATATAAAGAAGTGATATTGTTCTTTTAAGAAATTATCCAAACTTAGTATTACAGAATGTTGGCTCTAGGGAAGAGCAGAATGGAAAACTAACCCAGTTCCCATGCTTCATCTATGGTCACACGGTTAATAAATGTTAGAGCCAGGAAACAAATCTAAGTATTCTGATTCCAAATCTACTACACTTTTCACCACTTCACACTTCTATCTAAGTGTTTATTGTCCATAGAAGTATCCCTATGTGAAATTGCACAATTTTTCCAGCCAATGCTGCCATTAATAAGAACATAGTTTTGAGTCCTCTTGAGGAATCACATTCAGGGTTCCTGACAAAGTCTTTTGAGTATGATTAGCTGTGCTCAGTCATCTTTCTCAAGGATTTTCTTGACTTTTGGAAACAGAACCAATTAATTAAAAGTCTATTTAATGTGGTGGATCATATGGTTTTTGGAACATAGATTTAGAACTTGAAGGGTCTATAGAGATCATTTAGCCCCATCCCTTCTTTTACAGATGAAGAAAGTCCAGAAAAGTAAAACACTTGGTCCAACATTATGTAGGTAGTAAGTGGCAGAGTCAACATTTGGACGCAGGTCCTCTTGCTCTAAATCCTGAGCTCTTTCTACTAGGACCCAAGACCAAGGTCTCACTTGAAATAAGGAGTTTCCTGAGAGGTAAACCTCCGTAAGGAAAAAAGCACTGGCTTTGGACTGTGAAGATCTAAATTCAAGTCTCATCTCTGACCTTTTACAGCTGTGTAAGATAGGTAAATCCCTGCCTCTTTGTTTGACCTCATCTGAAATTAGGAATAAGATACTTAGCTGCCTGCCTCACAGGGTTGTCATGAGGATCAAATGGGCCAATGTATGAAAAATACTTTGTAAATCTTAAACTGCTAAAGTAATAGGATCATAGTTGCAGGGTTGGAAGTGCTGTTACATATATCATCTAGTACCCCATCATGCTACAGACCATGAAACTGAAACAAAGAAGTGTGAAGTGCATTGTTGAATGAATAACATATGGTAGAGGTGATGTTGGATTGTATTCCTTTGTGATTTCTTAATCTGGTCCCAAAGGGAATTCTAGAAGAAGAGTCTATGAGCAATGGCAGCCTCCTTAGATGAAGTGTTCTCCTCCTACAGCAACTATTTTAACAATCCTCATAAAATTTGAGTTATTTTTGCTTAAAAATATGGTAGTCACACTTGTAAGATTAATACCACACATGACAGTTCCTAGTCATCCTGATAAAGCCAGTTGTAAAATAAAAATGACAGGGACTGTCCACAAATCTTTCCTGGGTATTCAAGATATGTAAAATTTAGTTCCAATTAAAAGATTCTGCCACTAAAGAATTGGGCTGACCCATCAAGAGGCAGAAATGCGGTTAATCAAATATGAATATTTCTCACCAAGAATATTCCTGTCAGGGAGAAGAAGGAAAAAGGTGATTCTCTTTCTTACTCACCTTCCTAGAAGCAGAAATTCTCCAGCCAGCCCTTGGCGCCTCATGGCCATCAGCAAACCTCTCACTGTCATCCCCTCACAAAAGCAGGCCACCACTCTTGCCTTTGGCAGGTGGCTGATAAGCTTCTTCAGGAGTTTGTCAAAACTTTGTTCCCCAGCATTGCTATAGATCTTGTAGGAATGAGCAATGCAGATTCCTTCCTTGGCTGACATGTCTTTGAATGCTTCCATCCCACTTTCTCCATAGTTACCTGCATGGAGACACAAACAAGCACATAGGGATTAAATTGACAGGAATTGATGCGTCAGTCATAATAAAGTTCTCATGGTATGTCTGGAGCATTGTATTTCATGTAAAACATCTTTTAAAAAGTATATGAATATACTTAATGGGTCTTGATGCCTTTGTTATTCAACATCCCCCCCCAAAAAATAATCCAGATGTTATGAAAAGAGCCATACTATAGCATCAGATTTCTTGAAAGTTGCATGAAACAACATATTTGCAAATGAAGCCCACTTCATCCAAAGCATCTAACATCTAGGATTTCTCATCCTGGGGAGTCCCTGAATACACACGTATGTATGCATGTTATTCCAAATAATGATGATGGTGATGATGATGATGATGATGCTAATGGTGGTGGTGGTGGTGATAATCACAACAACAACAACAATTTCAATACAATTGGGATCTTTTATAACATTATGTTTTTTATATATTTGCAAAGATTATTCTGAGAAGTCCATAAATTTCATGAAACTGACAAAGGGGTCCATGACATACACACAAAAAATGTAAAGAACCCCTGCTTTAAAGTTTCAAAAAGTAGCCATTTGCTCAAGTTACTCAGCTTGCAAAAGACTAGTTACTCCTAGTTACTCCTCCCCAAAGTAAGAAAGGGTCCAAAGAACAAGCAAGAGTCCAAAGAATGGAGACAGCCCCTGCCTACTTCACTCAACAACAAACAATTCAAATGTATGTATATAATTTGTTCATATCTCTTCTCATAGGTGTATAAGCCACCAAGTCAGCTCTCTCTGCATTGCTGAGGGAAGGGATCTGCTTATTTTGCAAGTGATTAAGGGTGAAAAAGGCCCCCTCTCTGAAAACGTTGATGAGGAATTTCAAGTTACTAGCTATATCAAGCTGATTTGGGAATTCTGTTATTCTCAGGTTTATTTTTAGTAAAATTTATTCCTTAAATGAATTTCTAGAGGAGAAATTGTAAATTATTTTAATTTCTCAAAAACTTGGATAAAGTAATAAAAGTAATATATGTGACACTTAATTCAATTCCATAAGCAATTATTAAGCACCTACTATGCACAAAGAAGGTATCATGCAAGGTACTGAGGACTCAAGAGTCAAACAAAGATTACAAAGATTTGAGTTGATCAGAGATTTTGATGTTCTCTACATTTTTTAGAATATATAGCATGTCTAATCTTTGGTCTATATTTCACCATCAACAATGTGTTTCAACTTCTTATATAGAAAGTTGTGGAAAAAAGTCATCATGCCAAAATATTATGAAAAAATCCCCAAAGCGATCATGAAGGAAAAAAAACTAATATTGAACATAGGACTAAAATGTGAAATTTAACTCCCTAAGAGAACAACCACTTTATTGGTGAAGACCATTCAACAGCTGTTTTTAGACTAAAGCAATACACACACATACACATAAACATGCACATATACACACACGTGCATATATTATATATATCAAATTCAATAAAATATTGCATTTGATTTTTTTAAAAAAGAAAAATGAACATAAATGCTTCTAAGTGATGAGGCCTCAAGGAGTATGTCAATAAGCACTTATTAAGGACTTTCTATGTGCCCTGTCATGGATTAACCATTGGAGATAGAAAGGCAAAAATGCTGTCATTGCTGTCAAGGAATTCACATTCTAATGGGGGAGACAGCATACAAGCATTTGTATACTTAGAAGATACACATGCATACTTCTCTCCATATAGATATACATAAATATGTATAATAAAAGGAAATTAATCTCAAAGGGAAGACACTAATTGTAGGGAGAGGGGAGAAAAGACTGGTGAAGGCTTTCTGGAGGAGATGAGATTGGAATTGAGTCTTAAAAGAAGCCAGAGAAGCCAGGATGCAGAGGTGAACAGAGAGAGCATTCCAAGCATGATGGAGAGGGTAGCCCTTGAAAAGACATACCCTAGAGAGAAGTGTTATATGCAAAGGACAGTAAGAAAGCAGTTATTGTTAGATCACAAAGTTCTGGAGGGAGTAGAGTGTAAGTAGACTGGAAATGAAGGAAGGGACCAGATTGTGAGCCCTATAAATTACAATGTATTTTATATTATATCTTGGAGGAAATAGGGAGTCACTGGTGTTAGATGAGCAGAAGATGACATTGTCAGACCTGTGCTTTAGGAAAATCACTTTGACAACTGAAGAAAGGATGAGTGGATGAGAGATTCCAAGTTGGGGGATTAAATACAAAGCTATTAAAACAGTCTAGGCATGAGGTGATATGAACATTTACTGGGGTATTGATTATGTGAGTAGAGAGAAGGGGCCTCATAGTAAAATATTTAGTTTTTCAGCATTCCTGATGAACCGCCTCTTCTTGACTTTTGAACTGAGATTGATTCAGACCAGTCCCATGTTAATAAGGTATTGGAACAAAATGCGACACATGCATGCCATTGTAGAGTTAAAGATATTTTCTTAGTCATAGCAGGATAAGGATATTCAGTAAGGATAGAGATTGATTACACTTTGACATGATTCATCTGAGCAAAGTCCTCTTACCCAAATTTTCCACTGCGATACATCAGCCAAGGCTCAGAACCCCTTGGCCCTCCTCTTGGTTGCTTTGTACTCAAAGAAGTCAACAGTCTGAGCCCTTATACCCCTAAGAAAATCAGTTTTGAAGAAATGTTTTTATATTTTTTTTTCAGGAAAAAACTAGCCTAAAGTATATGGGGTGGGGGAGGACTTAAAATATTGCTTCAACCACACCGATACACTACATTTTTTTAAATGGAGGAAATAATGCATTAAGAGTTTGAGAAAATGACAGGACAAATAGAAGAGAGTTTATCATCTAAGCACCATAGATAGCTCTTTTCATGATTACCTCTGATTAAATGCTACTTAATTATTCACAGGGAATTCTCTCATGATTTTGATGAGATATGCCTATATTTAATTTCTCTAACAGTATCCCCATAATGAAGGTGCCTCTGGGGAGAAAACTCATTTTACAATTAACATTCCTATAGAGTAAAATTAGCCAGAGTCTTCCTTCTTGTATTTCACAGTAATTATTTCACCAATTCTAAGGAACAACTTTGTTTTAGTCCTGTGTTCCTTTTCATCTCATCAATTGTATCTGATGGCAGCATCTTTCTAGGCTGTTTGTCATGTGTACATTTATTCCATTTTCACTAATGAACACAAGACATATTCATGAAAATGTAAAGTGTAATAACAGCTCTTCATTTGTTTTTGCAACAGGAAAAATGACCTGTTCTCCAACAGTAAGCACAAGACTCGTGAATAATTCCAAATAAGAGTCCAAAAGAGGGCATGTAATTTCTTGTTACTCAGATTGCTGGCCGGTGCTCTGTAAAATAATGTTAGCCAGTCTGGGTTGCCATGAAGCAGTGCAATTTGGGGTGATGTATATACATGGCACCAATTATTTGGAAGAAAACCAGAGAATCTCTGTCTCTTTTCTGAGTAATTGATGTTGAGTGTTGAGAAAATATGTGTATTGTCAATTTTGATCTGGATCTTTGGTATTTTTGACCATGCGCCATAGGCCCATATATGTAAAGATAAAGGGATCTCTGATGTTATTTAGTCCAGTCTTTACCTTCATTTTCTTTTTCCTGTTGCTTGTTGATTTAAGAAACTGATGCCTAAAGAGATTAAGTGACTTGCCCAAGTATGAATTAGTAGAGTGAGTATTTGAACCAAGGTCTTCTGTCTCCAAAGTTATGTGTTTCTCTCTGTGCATGTGTATGTGTGTGGTGGAGAAGACTCTCTTGTTTTATAAGAAAAGTCTCTTATTTTATAGGAAACAGGCCCAGTGAAGCAAAATTACGTTTCCCAAGTTCTACAGGTTGTATAAGAGAAGTCATTATTTGAAACCAGGTTGTTTCCATTAGAACAAGCTATCTCTTCATTAACACAGTGTAAGTAGCAAACCCAGTTTAAAAATTCCTTGACCTCACGTACATAAACACATGCACATTGATCTTTTAAATTGGGCAGTGTCACTGGCATCATTTTGTAGCAAAATTCATCTCTCTTATAAAGAACATAAAATCCTTAGGGCAGGATTCTTTTTGATCACTGAATCACCAATGTCTTGCACATAGGAAATATTTAATAAATAGTTTTTAATTAATTATAGATGGCATCTGAAACACAACTTCAAGGAATCTATAAATCACATATATGTGTGTGTGTGTGTATGTATGTATGTATGTATGTATATGTATATTTATCCTGTGCTCTGAAAAGAAATGTTTCCAATACTTTGTCCCCATCATAACCTACTACCCCTGGAACTATTTTCACCTTTACATTAAAAGTCACCAAACAATACATTGGCACCTAATCTATGACTATGATGAGATGTTCTTTTAATCTGCATGCTGTAAAGTGATAGTACTGTGACTTAAAAAGCAAACTCTCCTTCCCATGACTAAATCTTAATATATAATATAATCTCTAAGTGATATTGATGAGATAACAGGCATGCCAATTTACCTTTGTGGAACAATAGAGGCATTTAACTTCTTGTTTTAATTTTATAAATGTTACTATTGACAAGGAACAATTAGCAAATAAGTCCAAAGATGAAACATCATTTTGATAGAATGGCAACAATTCCTTCAAAGGTAATCTTTTGTGCATATTATAAGTAGATTTCACCCAAGGTTGAATTACTTTAGACCACATTTCAGCATCTAACTTTTTTTCAAGATATGACCTTGTTCCTTTACAAATTGAGGGAAGCAGAATAAGACTTACTCTTCTGCCCCTAGAACTCTTCCTTGTGGTTTTCATTATGGGAGCTTGTACTGTGCACTTGGGGGAAGAATGCCATGTTTACTGTTTACCTTTCTCCAGCATGGTTCAGTGGAATGAGCATTCATTCATTCTATGAAATACTCCTGATACTGAAAGTTTTGTATTAGTGATCACAAAATCCATATTTACTACTAAATCATCTTGTGGAGATGCTATATA